GCAGTGTGCACCCGCACAGACTCCGTGGGACGTCAGAGATGAGGACGACAGAGGAGTCAGAGCTGGAACAGAGATGGGCACCAGCGCTGGAGGGACATCTGAAAACTACACTAAAGAAGATGATCAGATTAAGAGGTATGATTTAAGGTAAGTCCTTACACTAACATGGGGGGGGGGGGGATTTGCCTTTAATGTCACTTGAAGTGTTAGCAAACCCAAACTCCCTGTACTGACCTAGACAGGAAACTAACCTGATCTCTCAATCCTCCTTAATGGACTGCTCCCAGCTGAAAGGGAAAGCATAGTGTAATTTTATTAAGCACATATTTTAAGTTATTTTGGCAGTTTTACTTTAAAGTGACTCTGTTATGTAGAAGAAGAAAAAACTGCTACCAGGTATGAACTACAAATATATTTCACTGTCCTCTAAATGCTGGTAGAATCATACACACTAAGAATAGTTGTAAAACCTTAACACGCATTGAAAAGCTTATTTGCATCAAGCTGTGCTTTTTACATCCATATTAATAAAATCATTAAAAAGACTTTCCACTTCCTTTAACAACTGAAGCCTTGTGTCAGTACTCCTGCTTTGCTCCAGTACATGTACACACCATCTCAAACCTTAGGTTCCTGCTGCCAGGGAAAAGGAGCAGCAGGAGCTACATGTCACTCTTTGAAACATTTATCTACCATACGCAAGACAAGAACCTTTGGCATTTTTTTGCAATGCAGTCACAGTTGTAGTCTGCGTTAATATCTTGCCATTTATAATTAATATTATTTGTCAAAAAAACCTAACAAGGTCCCTGAGATATAGACATCCAGCTGGTAAACTAATTCCAGTTTCTCTGAATATTATTATTTTAATTAGCTTGAAGGGTGACAATGGATATTTCCAGACTTCATTTACCAAAATGCTGCTAATAATCCTATTTGCTGGATAGGCCACTAAAGGTCCTGCAGCCATTTTTGTATTCTACACCAAGATTTCCAGTCCAACTATTTCCACATTAGAAGAAATGTACTTGTATAAACAGACAAAAATCTCTTTTTGGTAATCCATTAGCCAAAATGTGAGGAGAAGCAGCGGCAAAACAAGGAGATTACAGGATGTGTGGATAGGTTTGTTTCAATATTATTTACACAATTCTGTTCTGTAAAGTGTTGAACACATGCATAGAACTTCAGAATGATAACAGCATAAACAGAAATGTTAGAAAGAGGTCGCTGTACATTTGAGACACCTTTATTATAAAATATCCAATTCCAAACATACAGGATAATAGTCTTAGACCACATCTATAAGTTGAACTCGATGGACATTTTCTTTTTTTTGTTTCTGTCTTTTTTCAACCTGGACCAACTAACATATTTCCTAATAATCCTTATAGACTGTACGTATGCTTTTTTATTTTATTTATATGGGGTTGCAGTTCTATGGTAAAACAGTATTTTGGGTAAAAAGGTTTCTCTATTTTATCAGATTGCAGCAAGGTAAAAGCATTACGTGTAAAACTTTTTCCACGGTTACATTTACCTTTGTACAAAGTCACAATGGTATTTCTTGTTTTACCGGAAACCTAATTAGGCTCATTTTGTCTAAAGGAAAAAAGGCGGTTGGATAAAACCACCCCATGGTGAATCTTTTAACCCACATAAATCACTGAAACTGGCTTTTTGTCGCATGAAAGAAAGATCATAATATCCATATTTTTTAAGCCCGAAATGTAATGAACGAACAAATTAATCTAAAACAACTCAGGCACAGTGCTTTTCTTTACAGACCACATCTAAATGTTCTCATCTTGCGATGTCCCACAGACATCTGACAAATAAACAAAGTTGCCCATTTTTAAGGCACTAGAGGATGCACTAAAATCCTCCAAAACGTAATCCTATTGTGCAATAAGGCTTTCCATACCTATTCGGTAATGAATTCTCAGCTTCACCATAGCCCAAATGTTCATATTGCAATAAGGAGCCTGTTTCCATAGAAACAGGTCTCACTGAGAATGACTGCTACAGAGACACAGGCCATTCATATGGTTTTCCAATTTTAGCAAAAATTTGACTATTCACCCAAAACTCCCATTCAAAAGGAAACTAACCATGTACACTTGTCTGGAACTGAATGAAGATATATTTTTCGTGCCTGCAAATCCTTGCAGAACTGGCCAGCTCTAACTTTCACAAAAATCTTAGCCGTCTGCCATCTCTAAAGTAAAACTATAGCCGAGTATACCTATATGCGTGACATTGAGCTAAGGCAGGGCATCATTACATGTCTGCATGTCAGCAGAAGTGAAACAGTTAAAATACATCATGATTATACAGCTGCTGGGTTTTTGCAGATGATCTCTTACCTATACAACAGACATTAGTATAAGATAAGAAATGTGCTATCAGTTATGCATCTAATAAATTAACTGCAAAATTTCACCCCACAGAATGAACATATTATAGATTATTTAGTTCATAGCATATGTACAGAATGTACATTAAGCCTGATGGTTAGACAACAGGCATATATATAACGCAAAGGTCATATGTCTCTTCTTAGCTACAAGTCTAGTGTAAGTAGAGAGCAGTGTTATAGACATGGAACATCATTTTAATTGACTTTACAATAATGATGTGAAGAAGTGGGAGGAGGTGGCTTCTGGATGACAGCTTTCACTAAACTTGGATTCTTACCTATAAATAGTTACCAGAACATGCAAAGCTATTTAAAAATATAATTTATGGAGAAAAATATTTGTAACACAACACGCCACATGAGAGCCCATTCTAGAACAATGGAATAAATAATTATCTTTGCTTCCTTTTTACTACAATATTACATCTGGTATTCCAGTAATTAATACTGTATTGAAAACTTTGGCTTGGTATATTGAAATTCCTAAAAGTACAAAGATTTGCTTAAAAAAATGCCAAGTTGCAAGAAAAGTAAAAAGTTGTATCTTGGTACATCCGTTTACTGTGAATATTTTTTTACCTTTGTCAAATTTTCACCAAAAAAAAAAAGAAAAGAAAATCATCAAGACCAGCTTTAAGAAAAAATAAAAGCTACATAGAATTTAAAACTAAAAAAAAAAAACAAATTGAATCTTAATCTCAGCGGTTTATAAATGTGGCTTTTAAAGTACAAAACTACTACAACTAGTAAGATTTTGCAAAGGTTTCACACAGACCTTTTTTACAATGAAACACAACTGTCCAATATGTCAATCATCTATGAATAATTCTAGCATGTAATCATGTTTTGAGAAGGGTTTTATCAACTGCGTTGCAATACTTATTTTGGATCTAATCCAAGAATACTTAAAAGCTCTGTGAAGGTGAACACATCTGGAATTTCTACTTACCTCATACACTTAACTTGTTTCAATAATAAATTGCAATTATAATCAAACACTTTTTTGTAAATGAAAAATATAGTAGATGGCACAGGGTTCCATAACCCATACAAAAGGGCATATACAGTAGCAGATAGTAAAATGCAATCTCAATTCCTTAAAGTGGCACTAAATTCAGGAGTTAAACCTTAAAAATACATTCTAGTACCCTAACTAGTAACAAAAATGTATTTTATTTGTGTATCACTCGGCTGTAGAGCCTCAAATCATCTCTGAATTGGTGCTGACACTGTCCTTCCTTCTGGAGGGTCCCCCATGATCCATGTGTGTGTGTTGTAAACTAGCCACCGCTCAGAACTCACTTCCGTGATGTTTCCATCATTTAGTTAACTCATTTGTATTGAGATTGCAGTCCATCACAGGAGTGAGCTTGGAATGGTGGCTACTTTAGAACACAGACAGAGACCATGGAGAACAAAAGTGGCCACCCTCCAGGAGGAAGGACAGTGTCAGCACCAATTCAGAGACGATTTGAGGATCTACAGCCGAGTGATACACAAACGAGATACATTTTTGTTAATAGTTAAGGTGCTTGAATACAAGTACCTTTTAAACTCATGAGTTTGTGCCACTTTAATCACGAAGTTAAAATGGTTGATTAGCAACTGCTACTTCACAATACTGCTGTGTGTGCCCAGCGCGGCCATCCGATCCACGTTTTATTGATAACTTTTGCTGTTGTTTTGAGGTTTTGTTTTCCGAAAAACTATAAAAACGCCTATCCTTTGGCCCCCCACATAATGAATCAAGACACCTCTGCTCTCAGATGAAGAGAATACTTAAAGGAGAACTATGGGGTTAAGGCTTTTCCCCATAGCTCTCCTTAGGGTAACGGGAGGACACAAACTAGCGTCCTCCCATCACCCTAAGCTCAGTATACCGCGAGCATACTGAGACGCCACAGTATACCGCGAGCTACTGCTCGCTTTATACTGAGACGCCACAGCTGAAGCGGATCCCGACAATTATGTCGGGATCCGCCCAGGTGCGTGAGTGACAGCTGTACCCGCCCCCTCCCCCGTCCGATCCGCCAGTCAGAGCTGGCGGATCGGAGCAGGGAGGGGGGAATCCAGCCCCTCGCCTGTCACGGCAGAGGGCTGTGACAGGATCGAGAGGTGAGCAAACGCCGGGATGTGTTCGCTCACCTCCTGATCTACTGAGCTGACCTGTGACAGTCTCATTTTCACAGGTCGGCTAGAACTATGTGGTGAGTGAAAAACACTCACCACGAATACACACTTATTCCTGGAAGATATGGCTGCCCAATTATAATTTAAGAGTGGAGATTAAGATTCTAACAAATTCACATTCCTAATTGATCACGGTAAGCAAGCTTGGCATGAAACAGGACACCAAACAAAGATCTGTAAATTGATTAATGTTTAATCGTGTTGAAATAAAAATAAGATATGGATGACAACATGCTAGATTCTACCAGAGAATTAGGTTATATACTACAGATGATATTCTCAACCAGTAAAGCCTTATGTGACCAAACACAAAACTTTCTTGAGGATATTATCAATAATGCACTAGAGTACAGAAGTTTATTAATATACAGCATTAGGGAGCGGAACTTACCTTTTCAAGTATGTCTTGTTTTGCAGTAGACAACTGTTGTCATGCTTCTTCCCACACAGATCTGGGGCACAGCAGGAAACCTGGTGATAACAACAAGATTATTTGGCTGTAAGGAAATAACACATCTCAGAGCGTTAAATAAAAAGGTAATTCATGCAGAATGGGGAACATATAAAAGATAGAAAATGGGAAAAGTAGTGAAGAGCTATTGGATTTTAAGAGGTGCTCCAACCAGAACTTTGTTTTACAATTCTACAGAGTGGAAGACGAGGAAAACCTCAGCATATTTTAATCTGTGCTCTTGATTCCTGTCCAGTTGACAACTATCTCTGGGTCAGGAAGTGATGGAAGATTTCCCCAATGGGAATACAAACAGGTTGTAATCCCTCTCTAAACTTAATTTTAAAAAAGTGCTACAGGAACCTGCTGTAGACAACAATTTTAATTATTTCAATGATAAAACCAAGCACCTCAATGGTTTCTATAGGCAATGCTTCCACTGCTCCTTTTCATAGCTTTCAGTACACCCAAGTTACAGGCCTGTTCAGCCTAGAATCCATGCACCGCTACTCTCAAGTTTTAAAATGGAAGTGGTTAACACAATGCTAGCTATGGTATTGCTATAGCTGAACAGCTATAGGCTGCTTGGGGTCATAAGACTCTCTGTAGATCAAGAAACATGCAACCATCTACTGTTTGTACTGTGTGCAAACTGTATATCGGTAGACTGTGGGAGCTCTGTAAAGCAAATTAAAAACACAAAACACATCCCAATTAATTCATTTTGGTTAACTTTCAATACTATAGTTATAGAGCATCATTGTTGTTAAAAAAAAAAAAAGGTGATACATTTTTACAAAACAGCACATGTGCCTACAACAGCATAACTTCTTAAAGTAGAATCCAGTCTGCAGCAATGTATATTGTTTATACATTTATGAATGCTGTACAGCTTTCTTCTTCAATTTTAGGATTTATCTAAAGTTTTCTAGACTGTCCTTGGTCTTTCCATTATGCTCTACACTGGTCTGTGGCAAACACGCACATCACTGCAGTAACACCTTCTCATTAGTCACTGCTATTTAGCAGATATCTTGCCTAGGTAAACTAATACATACACAGCCAAGCCTAAATGTGAGCAGTAGCAGACAGTAAACCAAATGTTGTGTGTTATGTGTGTTTCTACAGCATAAGACACTAGTCTGAGCTTCCCTTCCATACTTATTATTGCTTCTGAATAAGTGGATAATACAGTACACATTATCACCTACTACAGTTCTACTACCTGAGAAAAAACATTGAATGTACACATAGAGAGCAACACAACAACTTATAATGCACTGTTCCCTGAAGATCTATAGGCCTAGGATTCAATGTGCAGAGGGGGCAGGTTCTGAAGTAACTCTTTTGCCATCCAAATGAAACGGACTCTGTGGAAGTTGTATGCACTACATAGCACACAGCAGCTGAAATTCACCTTCTGATGCCCAGGGACATGTCTGAAACAGTCAGTGGGTCTTGTTGGAGACTGGGCAAGTGCAAACAAAGTGTGTTCCACAGCCCTTCAATGAAAATGTGGATGCACAGAGTGAGCGGCAGGGGGTGAAAAACACATATATGTACTGTATCAAATAATAATAAATAAATATACATGTTTACTGTTTTAAAGCCCATTTTAGAGAAACAAAATGTTGTGTGGAAATCTCTAACCAAGTTTTGCGATTTACACACTGCACAACAAGACAGGTGAGAAAGCAGCCACAAGAAGTTCCCCATTAAGAAATGTATCTTACTGGGTTAGAAATTCAGTGTCCTTTTTCTCCTTTTTTTCTCCTGTGTCCAATAAGCGGAGAGCTGACATCGGGTTCTGCAGCCCTGCTGAGTGCAGGGAAAGTTCAAGTGAGGATTTTAGCATGCAGGCTAGTGTGAACGAGGGGAGGGGGGTGGTGAGGTGTTACATTCTAGCACTCCATTTACTTGTTTCTTTTACTTTATTGAAAGTGTATACAGTGTACACTCCATTCAGTTATGTACAGCAGTTTAGGTTGCTGTGCTGCACTGCAGTGATCTGCGGTGCGATCCTTTGCACTTTGAAAAACTGTAGTATATATGCATTTTTTTTCCCCATATCGCACACCTATGTTGTGGTGTGAACGGGGTACAAAGAAAACAACAACTGATTTCAATGGGCCCTAGTGGTAGGTGGTGTTATTCAGTTGCTTAAAAATGCCAGTCACTGCTTATGGTGTGAACAAGCCCTAAGGCCCCATTCACCCCTAGGTGTTTTGTCGCGCATCAATATGCATGAGAAAACGTGCAGCATATAAATTCACATTAATTTCAATTGCGCCCATTCTTACCCATGCGTTTTGTCACAAGCTGCAAAACGCCTGTCGCTCAAGAAGTTCCTGAGTTTCTTTGGGGTATTTGCTGCACGTTTGGCCCCATAGACCTAAATGGAAAAACACGTTTTGCATACTTTTTTCCACATTTTTCCACACATTTCCCATTGACCGCAATGTCTTTGAACTGCCAGCCAAGACGCCCGTCTATTGCATAAAAATGTGCAAAATGAGCAAACTATGCTAGAGGAAAATGCGTGCAAACATGAGCAAAAACGCTGAAGCCTAGGTGTGAATTCAGTCTTAGACTAATAGCATTGGGGCTTATTTGTAAATACTGAAAAAAAAGAAATAAAAATGTTCCCCATAGTAAACATCTTACAACAATCATTTTTCTAGTACAGCCCAGAAAATGGAAGAAACCCTTTTACCACATGGTATAATTTAGTTATCCAACTCATACTCTACATACCATAAATCCTATAATTGACTAAAACACTTCCAACTGGAGATATTGTTTGGCTTACTTTCCTGTACAGCATATTGCTTATTACGCACTTGGCACTGGTATACTATTATACGTTTGGATTTACTGTTTAGTTGTTGAGTGAACTGCAGAGCATAATGTTTTGTGTAAGACTTGAATTAGAAAAGGTGAGAGGTAAACCTTAAAAAAACGGCAGCACTTCTAATCAGGAAGAACAGCCTCAACATGTAACACATCAATATGGATGTCTTTATTTACATAAATACTTACACAGAAACAGCTTTTAAAGCATTAAGGTGGAACGTAACTGAAAAAGTAAAGATGTGTTATGTAGGAATGCACCGACACCAAGTACAGTACTCGGTACAAGTACAGATACTTGTTGAGCTCCAAGACTAGAGAAAAATGAATAAGTTAGGAGGCAGCTGTCATTTGTAAGGAGCACACGGAGCTCCTGGGATTTGTATATCTCTGTTTTAATGTACGATTTTGTTTTTATAAATATAAATAAGGGAATGCACCGATACCACTTTTGCGAGTACAAGTACTGATACTTGTCCAAGTACTGATACATTTGTGTTTATTGTCATGTGACAGTTTTTCTTAAACAATATCGACTAATGATTTCAGGACAGTGGTGGAGTGCCAGAACTAGGTCCCAGGTGCAACCCTGGTAGTTCTCATGAAAATGCCAAGTATCGGCATTGGTAGTCGAAAAGTATCGGTGCATCCCTAGTGTTATGCTATGGGGAACATCTAGAAGTATTAATTGTGCCTTAGAAGTACCCTGGAACCTTTCATATGGAATACCTCCTGAAATACATGCAAGTCTCCTGGGATATGGGACACAAAGAGGTCTTGAGGTTTTAACCATCTTAAACAAATCAACACTCTTTCTTGGGAATTTTTCATAGTTTTTTTCTACAGTTCGATATTTGGACACAGAGGAGGTGTTCCGTGGTAGTCTACAATACAGAATAGGTGTTTTGGAAGTATTCATTGAGTGAGGAAATCCCATTTCTACTAGGTGTCATCTAGCAGAGGTTGGCAGAACTGTAGTCAATAAAACTGCATTGTGCTGCAGCGAAAGATGGGGAGAACAGTAAATTGCTTTGATAGAGACAAAGCCTACAGGGGTCTAAATTCTAGTAATATGGTCATCCAAACGGCAGTGGCCTGACAATTGCTAGTCAAACAATTCCAACGCTGACAATCCATGGGTCATAAATAATAAGTATATCCAATCAACAATCGGCCAAATGTTACAATACGTGGGCAACAGATGATCAAACTTTACAAAACAATAACAAACGTGCAACCATGACAAGAAGCAGACAACAAAATGGGAAATCTAGACAATATGCGAACAACAAATAACACAGTGTAATACAGCATACAGAGTTTCACTAGTGTGGCTGTGTGGGGGGAAAAGGAAACATCTTATGTCAATGTGTATATATCTTTGTTACCGCAAAAAAATGGAAAATAGTTTATTTATTTACAATTGGCAATAGAGGCGTGTATGGGAGGGGGAATTTCACTGGTTGCAACTGAAGGTAAGCTAGGTTAGCCAAGGCTGACAATCACTACCGTATCAGAGCTTTCCTTCTCCCGAGTCCTATGTTGCTGCCTTGTCCCGGTCTAAACAGGACCCCTGAGCTGTGTGCCAGCCAGCATGTCTTACTCTTCTGAGTCATGTGGCAGCAGAAGAAATGGGAGTACAGACTGCATGGTGCATGTCAAAGATTGCTCCCTCCCCTTGCTGAGAGATTTTTTAGTCCGCCATCGTGACCAAGATTTGTTCAACCCTGACCTAAACTTTTGAAAAGGTTTATCCTTATACAGGGGTATTTCTGTGGGAAATGAATGATTAGAGGGGGTGCAGTGTAGTGTGCTTGGGTAAAGCAGAGAGGCATGCGGCGGGCACACTGCATCAATCATGGGACCTACACAGATGAGAAATGTGTTTTGCGATCATCAGCTGAGTGTTTGTGAATAAATATGGATTTTAGGTCCTGGAATCTCATGCCTATTACCTAATCTTTGAACAGGGTAATAAAGCAAACCTGTTGATTTCACAGTAGCAAAATATATTTTTTTCCTCCAGATTTCATGTGAGCCTGTCACCTTCCCAGTCATCTAAAACAACAATCGGAATTCGTACGGAGTATCTGTGTGGTACGCTGGGCAATAATAGTGCTCAACTGTTCTATTTCCACTGCACAGAATTCTTCAGAAGCAACTCATATAAAATGCTGCAACATTTCCCATATCCTTTGAATTGTGAGGGGATCTATCTTATCAGACAAGTAATGTATAACAGGGCTGTATCATTTATTGCAGTTTAAAATAGGTGTATGGTGCACAGTGTGTAAAACAAATCACTTCTGTGACAGAAGCAACATCGAAAACCATAATTATCATAAGACAGGCAGTCAATGGGAAAATCAATGCATTTTAATAGCACACCATGGGTCAGATGTATTCACAAGGTGACTCCTCCAGCATTTCTTATGGACAACCATGTCTTTATCTGCCTTTTATCAATGGAGAGAGGGTGTAAAGGTGCTGGGGGTGCCTCCACTTTTTATACAATAAGCAGAACATTAAAAATAATGTCAGCAGCTTTTCCCCATGCGAGGGTGAACACTTTTACATAAATGAACACCAATGCACAAAGATTCTTCAAGGTTAGCTTGCTCTTCACCTAATTATGGAAATTAATGGATTATACAACTCTATAAAACTTTTTGCATATAGAAAAGGCATCATAATTATTATGTAACCTAAGAAGGTATAAAGAATACGATTTTAACATTTTCTGTTTAATTCTATAAATAAAAAATGCATACAAAATTCACAGACCTATATGTGAAAACTCAATCTAATGATGCAGGTAATTTTATGGGAAAACAGCACTTATTAAAAGGCCCGATAAAGCTGAATTGAGCAAAGTGTTTTCCTCCATTTCATTTTAGGGGGTCTAGTGAGTGAAAGTCTCCTAAAGGACAACTGTCCTCACTGACTGTGGCATCCAATAGCTCCTCAATGTCATTTTTCTATGGTCGGTTAGAAGGCTAAAGGGATGATTTGTTGCTACAAATAACACTCCTCTTCTTTCAGACACTTTTTACAGGGGGACTTTTTACAGGTTCAGTCCGAATCATGCTGTAATCAGTTTCCAATAAAGTATGTTACAGATGTGTACAGAGAAAGAGAATAATGATAAAGAAGGCTAAGCGGGGTTGTCAACACAAAAGAAAAATACCCATAACACTAATCTTTCACAAAACCTTTTAGTAATATAACATATTCGTCATATTTTAGCAGTGACGTTATGCAGGCTTAAAGTAGAACTGAAGCCAAGGGAGGGTTATAACCCATTACAGCTTTTTTTTTTTTTTGCCCTGTGTGTCCAATAGGGGAGATTTCCTTTCACTTTGTCACAACAGGAAGTGAGAGGAAATCCCTCCAAAGTGAAGGAAATCCCCAGTGGTCAGCAGGATCACCAGAACTAGTGTTCCCATTGGAAGGTTTCCTCCTGATTCCTGATCTGAGGATGACCCATCATTTGGGATTTTCTTTCACATTCAGTGATAAGTCAACTATTGCAAATGCAATGCTACATAGCAGGTACATTGGAGGATGTGCCTGTTCATTTGAATGGCCTTCTCGCCACCTCTAAATTGCCCTCAAAGAAGTGCATGATCAGTTCTTAAAAATCGCATTGCACCACAGTACATGGTAATAGGTTACCATGATTTGTTGTGTGATGCAGTCCACATAGCCAGGTGCATTAACAAATAATGGCACCACAGAGCACCTAAGGGTGCAACATGCAACATCATGCCATGCGGGGTCGTGTGCAGCAACATACATGCTCCCACATCACAAAAGTGTAAACAAAAGCTGACGGGGACACAGACAGCAATAAAAACCTGACACATCATCTAATCCCTCTTCATTCTATCCAGAGCTAAAAAAAAAAAGGCTTCAGTTGCAGTTTGAAGCAGAACTCTTCTGCAAATATGGAATACATCTCTGAGTTGGCCCTTCCGCATTGCTTTCAATTTAACATGCAGGTCCTGGGAGGTAAAGGAGAGGAATCTGTTATCATATGAGAGTACAGGGAGGACCTCAAAGCAAATGAGAAGTGACACAGTAGATGCGAAGTGAAATGTAACATATTGGTACCACCATTCTGGCTATGAGGTGTGACACCGGTGTGTGAATTACAAGAGTGGCTGAACATGTGATAAAAAGCAATGTTCAGGCAGGTTGGCATCATACTAGTGTGTCTGTGAAATACAGAAAAACCTTCATCACATGGAAGGAAACCAACAAATATTTACATCTGTATCAGTTAAATAAACGACAAGAAAGCGTTGTGAATGCAAGTAGCTGCTTTAAAGAAAACCGAAGAGTGCTGATTAGTGTAAGGTCCCTTTCAGACGGGCTTTCCGATCAGGTCCGTCTGTCAGTTTTTTAGGCAAACGTGATTGGAAGCCTGATATTAGTCTATGGGCTGCCGGATCTAAATGGACATCATGCTACCTGAGAGGAAGCTGAAGGTTGGGCATGATTGGAAAATGATCCCACGCATACCTCAAACTGGTTGCAGAAGTCCTGTTAGATTCTACAGTGGCCAAAATAGTCACCTGACTTGAACCCCATAGAAAATCCCTGGTGGGGTTTGAAGAGGAAGGTTGCACCACACAAACCCAAGAATATTAGCCCTCGTTCACACCTGAACGTTTTGTAGCGCGTTCTACGCTCAACGAACGCTATACAAAACGTTCAAAAATATAAATCCCATAGTATTCAATGGTCTCGTTCCCACCTTGGCGTATTTCCGCCAGTCCCTAACGCGCTACAAAACGGCCCACGCCTGAAAAGGTACATGTACTACTTTGGGCCGTTTTGTTGCGCGTTTCCATTGGGATACAGCCAAGTAGCCTTCGGAAACGCGCGTTTGTCGCGCAACTTTTTTACCAACGCGCGACAGACGCGCATATGCAATACGCCTAGGTGTGAACGAGACCTTAGTGAACTGGAGTCCGTTGCTCATGAGGAATGGGCCAAGATTTCTAAGGAAGACTGCCAGAATCTGGTGTCTGGCTTTGAATTTACAGCAGGTCATAACAGCTAAAGGATGCTCTACTAAGTACTAAAGATACTTGCCATGAAGGGGTTTCATTTTGAGGCTGCAGAAGTCATTAAAAGTTGCATTTTCAGTCAATTTGGGGAAACCAATTGGGGAAACATTCCCTGTGTTGACCTATTTCAATTGCTTTGGTTTAAATTGTTCATTGCAAACAGCTGAAAGTCTGTACATTTTACAATGGGAGTGGAAACATTTTGATTACAACCATAGCTCAGAAGATTGTTATCTAAACTGTGGAATCAAACAAAACGGATCCTGGCTCGTTGAAGCACTGCTACCCTATCATACAATCCGGCTTCACCAAACTGGCCGCCTCCTTCCACACTAATAGCGATAGTAGTTTCATCTCCTTTTTACAATGGGAGGAACATAGATGTATAATAAGAGGAATATTAATCAAACACGGCTCACACCTAAAACGGGAACACCATTCTCAAATTACACACCTCCGAAAGGAACAAAATAATGACACTTTTGTGTGAGAATTTAAGATTTAAAAAAAAACAAAAAACAATAAACGTAGATATACCTGGTACTGGACTTCAATGGGCTCATTCAGTACCGCTTGATAAGCCTGTGTTTGCACATGTAAAAGCAAGCAAAAACAGGCAATAGAATGCTTCAAAATGCTCAGCTCAGGTGCGAATGCAGGACAAGTGTATGGGCAGCTTAAAGGCTTCATCTTTAGTTTATCTCTTATACCAGCTTTCATGTTACAGTTATATTCTGGAAAATATGGTCACATTCCCCTGTCCCCCACTTACCAGAGTCACAAGGTTCCTTGCCCTCAAGCTCCTGGCAGTTTTTGAATCTGGCGTACTCCCACACTGCCATGTCATCCATTTACAGATCATTTGGCAGATTCTGTGAATGGAGGGACTACAGGTGCCATCAGTCACTGCAGCAGAGTGTCCTATTGTCCTCAATGGAGTACAATTGTGGAGACATCACCGTCCGTGTTATTGAAAGTCTGTAAGGTTTGCCATACACTAATCTATTTTTTTCGTTCAACCCGTGGGCTAAATGGAAAAAATAGACCCGATTCCTCCATCAACACTAACAGCGTGTCGATCGAGGAATCCCGCTGTTTACATACAGGGGCTGCCGGCCCCTATCAGAATACCCAACCAGAGTGGGCAGCTCACTGGCTGCCGGCTCTGATCAAACGAAGATTTTCCGATCAGACGATCGAGGGATGCTGACAGCGGCACACACTATTCCTCAAAAACCAGCCAAAATTCAAACCGTGTATGGGCACCTCGATACAGACAGGTGCTGGAGGAAGAGTCTGCAGGAGCCAGAGCATTGCACCTGCCATCCACTGAGCGGTTGCAATGCTTTACTTGCTCCAATGTAAAAAATACATAAATGCTAAATTTGTTTCTTTTATGAATGTATGCATTTATTATTATTTATTTCTTCCCTCTCACAAAGCAGTTCACCTCCAGATGCTGCCAGATAACCCTCCCCCAGGAAGAGAAGGGAGGGATGCTTGACATTTGCAGGCAGTGGTCATTGACATGCATGGATTCTGACATTTGCATTCACATACTGTTTACCTTTCACAATAATCTCCCCTGCCACTTCCATTTATATCGGACAGTGCCCTTCCATACTCATTATCCCGTCAGTACCCGGAGTGTGTGTACAATGAAGCTCAGCCTCTACCTGATCTCACATCTAATGACTGCCAATAAGTCAGTTCTACGTCAATGGCTGCATTATAGCGTTATAACGCCTCTGCTGCCCATCTGTCTGCATTCAATGCCAATACACAGACTTAGCGATGTGCCAACTTCCTATACGAACTTCCCCGAGTGCACATGACAGGTACTCTTTCCCACACACACCCCCAGCTCAGGAGAGTGTCGGGGTGACATGGCTCACACAACCCCACGCACACTTCCATTCACAATCATAACTATTATTTCTATTTACATACCTTCATGCGGCCAAGGAAATAGTTCGCTTTTTGATTGGCTGAATTCAATCCGACAGCAGGTGTTCATGGGAGTTGTAGTCCCGGCCGGAGACAGTCCACCTACAATGCTGGTCCCGGAAACGCCGAGTGATAATGAAAGCGGCTCAAGCTCTGTAAAGCCATGCTGGGAGACACTAGAGCTCCAAGGTCCGAAGGAATTCGGGACACTGCAGCGGCAGACATTTTCCCTGTGATTTTACCGCAATAACACCTATTGATGGCTACATAAAAATGGCTGACGACATTGGATTCATCAGACACTTTTACAAGCCACAGCTTACACAGCTAGAGAGTACTAAACAAATACTATTGTTTATACACCTCATCATACTAACCATACATTTGGTAGGTTTTTGTATAAACGTTCATACAAAAAAATGTTGACAGAATATTTGATAATTCCATCACAGAGTTGCCAAATGTCATTCAATTTTTATTTTGTTTTAACATTGGAGTTTCTCTTACGAAAACCAAATTCATTGTTAGAATATTTATTTGTTCGAGAAAAAATGTCCATCCTGCGCCTTTGATTTTTTTTTTTGTCAGTACAGTAGAACTACAGTTGGTTTGATCCCATTCAGTTGGTTTGACCCCATTAAAAGAAAGGGGAAAACAATTTTAAAAAATGCTGGGAGGTGTGGATTTGCGGCAGAAGAAACATGCAAAATCTCATGTAGGGCTGCCACCTGTTCTTCAAAGTGAAACCCGAACACTCTAGTGCCACGTGCGGCAATTTATTATTTTTTTTAGAATATAAAGGAGAGATGGAGGAGAGGCAGCCAGGTGAGTATTTTTTTATCTAGGGTTTACAGATATTTATTAAAAACAGTGCATCAAATAAAAGCCCAATAGGTCCTTAAAAAAATTATCCAAAATTCTTCAGGTATACAAATTAGTCTTCAGGGCATACTGTACATCTAAAGCAGCGGCTGTGGCATTCAATAAACATTTACTGCATGTGACTCAGTTACTGTAATTTAAAACACATGCACAGGAAGATACACCAATAGTAATTGTACACACACAGCTTACAGCTACTGTCACGCTAACCAACGCATGCCAATGCTGCCAAATTTAGCTTGCCCATTTAGACAATTACCTTTGGTTTAAAGGGAGATTCCACCTTTGAAAAAAAAGCATAAATGTGCATTTATAATTTTTTTGCATAGGTGCCAGTAAAGTGTTGCAGTTGATCGTGAGTGCAATGTTCTGGCTCACGCAGCCTCTTCTTCCCATCCATGTCTGTACGAGTACAGACATCCATGTGCAAGGTACGGACATTCAGCAACATGTATGGGACGAAGTGTCATTGGAAGAGGAAGGGTATGGGATGACGTCACAGCAATTGTATTGCATTAAGAACTTCAAGTCCCTCTGGAGCAGTGGCTGCTGAGACTTGTAGTTACTCTGTTCACAGATCCTGTCAAAGGATTTGCAAATAGATGATGCTGCTGTGTGGGCACAGCCACGCACAGCCACCCTGAATTCAAACATGTAAACAAGCCTGCAGGGAGACGAACCCCGCGATCCAGGTAAGCGGGGCAGGAGGTGGGTTGTGATCTGACCATGTTTCATCTTACACCCATAATTAGGGAAAATGGTAGAGTAAAGTAACAAATACATTTTGCTTTTAAAGTAGGGATTTCCCGATACCAGCATCGGTATCGGGACCGATACAGGGCATTTTGACAAGTACTTGCACTTGTCAAAATGCCCCAATACATTGCGCCAAAGCTTGTGCTATGTTTTTTTTTTCTTTACCGACCTTGCCGAGCGTCGCGTCACTGCTGCTTCGGATGGGTGGCGCTCCAGGTGGGGTCCTAATTTAGGTGGCCGGCAACTGCCCAGAGGACCCCATCCGGGGTGCCGCCCACCGGAGCAGCAGTGACGCGACGCTCCTCTTCAGCTCAGCGCCGACGACGTCCTCGCGTGTGAGGAAAATCGTGAGGCACCGCAATCGAGGCAACAGTAAGTGAGGGCCTGGGCTAAAGTGGGATGTTTAGTGCTTTGTGTGAACAACAAGAATCTAGTGCAGCAGTGTATTCTATATGTACTGTATATGTACTACATATAGAATACACTGCAGCAATAGATTTACAGTTCTCCCCTGCTAATATGAATGGGTTAAATGATTCATAGTACATAATAGTACAAAATATGTAGTTGTACTATGGATCATTTAACCCATTCATGTTAGCAGTGCAGAATTGTAAATCTATTGCCTCCGTGTATTCTATATTCTACAGTATGTGTAGTAAATGTATAGTACATATTCCCAATACACTGCAGCAATAGATTTACAATTCTGACCTGCTAGCATGAATAGGTTAAATGATCCGTAGTACAACTACATGTTATGTACATATTATGTACTATGGATCATTTAACCCATTGATATTAGCAGGGGATAATTGTAAATCTATTGCTGCATTGTATTCTATATGTAGTAGATGTACAGTACATATTCCCAATACACTGCAGCAATAGATTTACAATTCTCCCCTGCTAACATGAATAAGTTACATGATCCGTAGTACAACTACATATTATGTACTATGGATCATGATTTAACCTATACATCTTAGCAGGGGATAATTGTAACTCTATTACTGCAGTGTACTGGACGTGTGTGCTGTATATGTACTATGGATCATGATTTAATCTATTCATGTTAGCACGGGAGAATTGTGAGCGCCTCCCACAAGCTGAGCACCAAGACGCGATGCAGCAATCCTGCCCAGCGCCGACTACAAGAGGCACCGAGTGAGGCAACAGGGATCGGAGTGAAACTATGAGTGAGGGAAGCTGGGACAGGGCTGGGTGTAAATCTATTGCAATAGTGTACGGTAAGTGTGTACTGTATATGTAGTACATATATACAGCACACACCTCCACTACACTGCAGCAATAGATTTACAATTCTCCCCTGCTAACATGAATAGGTTAAATCATGATCCATAGTATATAACATGTAGTTGTACTATGGATCATTTAAAGTCACCTGACCCTTTAAGAAAAAGTATTGGTAATTGGTATCGGCAAGTACATGAGGGGAAATACTTATACTTGGTCTTGAAAAAAGTGTATCGGGACATCCCTACTTTAAAGGTTTAAAAAAATACACATATACCTTTTTTCAAAACACTAATATAAATGCAATGGATAAAAACAGACACAGATGTAAACTATTGTATCAGAAATGTAATCCTTACATCAGAATACAAATGTTAAAAGTAATGCTTATAATGTTAGAAGAATATTGTGGAAACACTGCTAAAGATACCATGCTTGGACAGAAATCTGGTACTGAAGACAGCCCAAAACTGATAACAAAAGAATATCAAGTATCCTTCCAAGATTTCCATGGAGTTTTAGCCATTGAAACTACTAGGTCACCCATATGCTTCCCATATGCTACACATGGTAAACTTTTAGTGTATTGGTCATAAAACTGAAGTGGAAGACAGTGAATATGATGGAAGAACACTGAAGTAAATAACATTTACCCCCCAATATTACTAATAGGAGAAGGAATAAACCTGCTTATATTGGGGCTAACTTTTGCTAAGATTTGTTTCTAAAAGCCATTCGTGGCTTTCTCCAACAGGCACACACAGGACATCACAAGAAGTGACAGCCAGTCTGCAGAGGGATGCAGATCATTAAACAGCCAGGACGTCCATTACTTCCAGCTCACTCCTATTATGCAATTTATATACCTACCTTGTCAAAGAATGCTGAACACCAAGCTTAAATATGCATGAAAATATTTACATCCAGATTCTTTCCTTAATTTAGCTGGCTCCTTAAATGCACTGAATGTCTGTTGTTTTATTACAAAAAGGAGAAGAAATCAGTCAACCATAATTCAAACGCAATCACAAGTGTAACAATTGAATCTGCTAAGCTGTTTCAAACACTTCCAGCTCCCGGTGTGAGATACCACTTCCTGGAATTATCTTTATTCTATGCTTAACAGAGCATCTCTACCTCTTGACATCACTGCACCCGACCTGCTACCATCGTCGAGTAAATAGAATTATTGTTGTCTTGGAATCCGAGCCATGTTGTCATGAAGAAGTGCTACTGTATCAACTTGACCTTTATGCTTGAAGTGAGGAAATCTATACATTCTCTCCATTAGCAAAGCGTTTGACTTTTCAGACAGAAAAATCATTCCTGATCACATTTCTTATTCTATACAAGCACTAATGTAAAGTGATTTAGAAAATCTAAGTATCCTTGAGGTATTCCTTCTTAAAGTATATTTTAGCTCAGAGAAAAGAAAATGCTCCAGCCGTATTACCAGCGATTTAAATGACAGCTCAGTCTATGCCAGCATATCCATGTTTAGCAGGGGGGTGGTTATGAATTATGGGGCCCCATAGTAAAATTTTGATGGGGCCCCCTGGCTAACATCTCTGTAGCAGCATGCAGGATTGACAATACGTGTTATTGATCTCAACAAAGTATGTCTAACTCAAAGACAGGTAGCAAGAGAGCTGTCAGTGTAGTCAGTAAACTTATAGGGACCAGTACTGTGGATAAAAGTTACAGGAGAAATGATAAAAATAACCATAATGATATCAGCTCTCCTATAAGGTTTCAGCTCAGTAAAAACTGTGACATTTGAGACTGCATTCAGCCTTTTTAGACAGACAGCAAGCTCCTACGCCCTCTGAAAAGTGACCTGCAGTGCATAATTTTTTACAGAGCGGGACCGTACTGGCTGCCGGAGTTCAGGAGACAATGCTGCCACTTTTTGAATACCATTTTTTTTGGATCCCGAGGGGAACTTTCCGTTGAACTTCTAAGCATTTGGCACATGGTTGCGGCATGGTCTCATTCACCTCTATGGTCACGTTTGGCAGGCAGCACTGCCTTCTGAGTGCACATTACTGTATAGTCTCTGCCATGCTGCAGCAATTCATACAATACTGTCTAGCTGCAATCCTAGTATTCAAGTCGGCAGCTGGGAAGCAGATCAACCATCTGGTTTCACTGTCCCTCAGCCTCCCGTCTAAACAATTTTTGAGACTAAAGCTGGCCATACACCTATATATTTTCGATCG